ATTGCATTACATATGTTAATACTTCAATGAAATAAGTAGATATAATATTATGAACATAATGTTAGTAATTCTTGAATTTATGAATGGAACCGGATGAACGGTGAAAGTCAAGTTCAAGTGAACATTTGATAACAAGTATTCTATGTTGTATATAAAAACTTTGTGAAACTCTAAAAAAAAATTATTAATAATTTATTTATTCTTTATAAGTTGTTGTATTTTTTTATTATTAACTGATATTTAAAATTTACTTTGAATATTCATATCTATGATAGGTTCTATGATTAGTTCTACTAAGCTAGTGTTGCTCACCCTATCATATTTTCTAACATTTCAGTGGAAGGTAAAGGCTTAATAGAGTAGAAAGATGTAGAGGTTGGATCTTCTGAGTTTAAGTAATAAAGACATTCTTTGCAATCAAGTTTTAAATCCCTTTAATATAAAAATAATTGAAAGTTAATTAGGTTATTATATATGTGTATATATATAAAATGAAACATGAGGAGTCGCTTTTAATATTTGGACTTTTAGTTACTATAGTTCTCTCTATTAATAACAGTGTGGTTAAATTATAGGTTTAGGTTTTCAATCCTTCCATTAAATACTAGGGCATCACACTAGACCTACCTCTCCACAAGCTTGTAAAAGACATAAATAATGAATGACACAAATGTGTGCTACAAATTATCTCTCAAACCTCTTAAAAATTTCTAACACCTCTCCTTATGGGTACTGACTAGTTGAGAAGCATAGTTGATAAGAGTTATGAAATCTGCTCATACTACATCACCATCTTGCTTCCTTGCACTAGTCTAAAAAATGATTCTTACATTTATGGCATGGTAATTGGCAGATGAAAAAAAAATTTTTTGAAGAACTCCAAGAACTCTCCCACTACTGGCCTATCCACCATTGCTTTACATCACCATCCAACAAAAATATGACTAAAAATTATTTCTATCATCTAGACATTTCTTGCTATAAAATTACTTTTCCATCATATTCAACCAATCTTTAACTTCCTCGGGCTTTAGTAACCCAAAAAATGAGGACTCTTCAACCTAAGGAACAACTAAAGGTGCTTCTTTTTATCCTGAACTCCAGCCATCTAACCTTGAGCTTGACTCATCAGCTTGGATGGTACTTTAAACTATAACAACTTTAGTGGAACTCTATTCATCAATTACTTTAGGATCTTTGTGGTCCATGTGCATTGATACTTTATCTATGCCAAAAGAAAAGAAGTCAACTAGACGCACACTAACTCTTTTATCTTTCTATTAGTGATCATTCTATATAGCTCTAGTTATGATTCAACCCTTACAAATCATTGCTCTAACACTACTATACGATGCTCGAAGATCTAATGAAAGAATTGAATATATAATCTTATGTTTTAACTTCTCTATTTAAATAGAATAAAATAGATCTTGCTATAAAAATCCAAAATAATAATAATTCAAACATCATTTCATTTTCATTTCTCAAAACTTATGCAGAATAATCTAACTCACATAAATTCTATACATCAAAAGAATTATATTGGATTACAAAATACCTTAATTGTGCTAATCTAGATGATCCTATCCCTACACTATCCTATTCAGCTAGGCCATTTTCTTTTCCTGGAATATTAAGAATAAATGGAATGAGTATTTCAATCAGTAGGCCTAAAGTCTCATTATGAAAATTAATATCCATAATTACATTTCATACATTAAAAGTTTAAATTAAAAAATTAAAAAATGCATAAAGTACATTTCAATTTCATAGAGATATAACAAAATGTATATTTTTACAAATATGCATTTGCTTATAGTTTCATGAATCTATCACAGTACATAGCTTTCCAAAATAGAGTAGAATTGCACTTTCATTCATAGCTTTTCTAGAAACCTTATATTACCATTTTTATAGAGTTACCATAATGCTCTTATTTAAAAAATATATATATTAATCTTCATTTAATAGAGAATTTATTTAGAGTGAAAATATGATATCATATGCATAATGATATATATATCCTTATTTTTACATGTAACTCTACTTCACTTATCCATGAGGTGAAGGAGACCCCTCTTACTCCCCTTAAAACTCAACTTTCACTTATGTCTCCCTCAAACCACCCACATTGGCATAAAATAAATTGGATCACAATTAGAACATAATAGGATAGAGTAGAACATAATAAAATATTGTGTCCATAGAATATAGTTTATAGTATAATTTATTAGTCTCCCATGTTAGAATATCTACCATATGATCATAAATGCATAAGTAGAACTTTAATAGAATAATCAAATTCAAAAATTAGAAAACAAAATCTAAAAATCTCAATAATGCGAGTACACAGTAATACCGGGATTATACTCACATACGTCATTCAAAATTTTCAACTCTCATTATTTAACATAATGTTTATAATTAGGCTTTAAAACATTTTTTTAGGCTTTTTGTAGATTACCATAAATTTTAGAGTTAATAGTTCTCAAGAAAGGAATATTTAGATATTAGCATAAGTAAAATCAATCGAGAACATCATTTCTTATAGCTGAAATGTTCAAAATGGAGAATGCTACAACTTTTTAAAAACTATATGATGCATGATGGGGGCACTGGAGTAACCTAAAGAATTGTGAAAATGATTTAGGACTCAATCAATCCATAAACAATGCTTAGGTTTTCTTTGAAATTAAAATTATAAAAATTTCACATAATATATGCAAATATAAAAGTTGAATCAAAAAATATAGTGATAGAGTACATTATTAATCCCATGAGGAAGAATGTTGACATGTAAATACTAGTATTGTCTACTACAACTATAACAATTATCCTACTTAATAAAAATAAGTTTTTATGAAGATATAATTACTTAATTTAAAATAAAAATTAATTAAATAAAATACTATTTGGATAAATTATTTTAGATTAATCGAATGTAAATATAATAAGTTTTCTAATAATTCTCTTTTATATCGATGCTTTTCAGACCATATGCATCACCGACCGCTCAGTCAAGCATAAAGAAATAAAGGATAGATTAAACCCTTTGAATCTCAAAACCATCATAAACTCCCATAGTCTGTCACCCTATGAAAAACTTGGAAGAGTAAGTAAAGCATGTATTATTAAAACCTCCTCATGAAAATTCATCACTATTGATAAATGATAAGCAATATGCCTATGCTTGCATCATACCAATCTAACATACCTAGTTATGCCAGCTTATCTTTTCCTAGGCTCCATATTTTATTAGATATTAACTCTATGTATGACCACTGTGTATATTAAGTAAAGACCAAGTATATTGAAAACATCTTAAAATAATTGATAAATATAATTTATAAATAAGTGAATTCTGCCAGACATGAAGAATAAGTGAAACAAATTCATTTTTATTAATTACATAAAATAAAGAAAGAATAGGAGTAAAGATTTTACTGAATGGGTTCAATGTTCTCCTCTACACTCCTCCTTAAACTTATAGAATTGCTTCTACATATAAAACCCAAACACTCCAATGTAATGTACCTAGTTCTTTTCTGAATTCCCTCATTATCACCCATAAAAAAATTAGGGAACCACTTTATTGATTGGAGTTAAATAAGTGACTGAACTTCTCTATTAACATTATAAATGGACAATTTATAAAAAAACATAAAAAATAAATTACATCACTATAGCACTCAAAACTATATTATTCAATCATTTTTATTTTTAATTAATTTGAAATTATAAATTATAGATTTAATCATTAACTTTTCAATGGTGAGGTGAATAATATAGTTTTAATAATTTGATAAGGTTATTATAAAAATTATCCAATAAATTGTTTGTATAAGATTATATTTTAAATCTTAAGCTTTCGTTGATTCTAATTTTTGAGTTTACTCATCCTTTTCTTTTGATATTTTTTATTTCTTTTTCTTTTTAAGAACTATTTGTAATTCTTTTTTTTTTATGACGTATATATTTAAAAAATTTGAATATCACCTTTTGCTTTAGGATTCTCATACATTCTTATTAATTTTAATGTATGGACTTGATGAGATTATTAATTCTTTTTTTAAGTTAGCTATGATTTGAAATTTTAATATACTCATATTTAATTTTTAATACTAATTATTCCTTTTATAATTTTAGAATTTAAATTCATAAAGGTATAAGGTATAAATTCAAATTAGGATAGTTGTTCAAATGATTGAATGAGTTAAGTAATAGTTTTTCTAACCTATAAAGTATAAATATAGTTCATTCAAAATAGGATGTAGGGTTTTATTAATATCTTAATTTTTTATATTTTTTTAATTATCATTTTTATATGGGTGAACTAAATAAAGAGAATATAAAAGTAATTGGAGAACTAATAATTTAAGTATGAAGGGAATTTGCTAATATGTAAATAAATACAAAATTAAATACTACAAATATATGCTTTCATATGAATGATAAAGAACACATAAAGCATGTGTCATAAAATAACATTAATAATATAATACATTTAGAGGATAACTAATGCATATGATGCTGAGCATTCAATTATAACTCTCAAAACCAAATTTTCTAATTAAGTATAATTACACAAGCCAATATCTGTCATCACTTCCATCTCTTTTATCAAAAAATAAAGCAAAACAACCAAAAAAACACATAGGATTCTTTTGACTAGATAACTGATTAAACCTAAGGTTGGGTTCCCTCCCACCCTCCTCTATATATGATGAAGTGGGGCACATATAGTAATGTAACCTAACATCATCTAGTACAGTAGATGGGTCATAACCCTCAATTTGGGGCCTATGGCCTATTTTTGGTATTTATTCAGTTCTAGCTTGATTGATTCTTTTTGTGTAGTTGTCAAGAAGGTGTATTAAAGATCGCACTTTTGTTCTTACAACCTACCTCATTTGAGTAATATGAGAAGGGTGGAAATGATTTCCATTAGGGAGGGGGTAGGTGTAATGAGTAATGAGTTCTTTACAAGCCTTATATTTGACTTATTTTAAGGCTTCTAACTCAATAGTATTTATGGCCTTAACAACCTTCTTTCTGACTCTTTGAAAGTAGTTCCTCCTCTTATTTTTGCTAGTGACAGGGGTGCTAGAACCTGACCCAATCTCGTATTGAGATGGTAACTCTTCCCTTGTTAATGATCCCAAGTTCTTATCCTCATGAGTAGAGGGTACAGTGGTAAAATGGGCGACAATGATCTCCATCCTAGAGATGGGGGAGTCAACTCTTGACCCTAAAGTAATTGTAACAAAGGGGACATCCTGTTATATTCCAACAGACAGATCAATCATTTCTTCACCATTAACTAATAACTTGAAGTGTTGAAAAGTTTATAGTCTTCAGCTAGACTTGCCCAAATTTTCCATTTAGCTAAGGTCTAAGATTGCTACTCTTAAATTAGGTACCATTTGTATCTATTTCTCTCTTTAGGTTAACTTCAGTTTTGCTATGAAGAGATTCAATGGGTTTACTATCATAGATGTTGCAAGCTAACTTACATTATTCTAATTTGTTTCTTGCTTATTTTGATAAGAATTTTATTTATTTCAACCATTTTTATTTGACCAACTAAAATTTTGATGATTCCTTCAACCAAGATTTTATGTATTTAAATAGGAATATTTTTATCATTAAATCAATTTTATATTTTTAATCCCTTAGATATCATTTTTTTTTCATTAAGCTTTTATCTTCTAAATGTAAAGATGAATTAGAATTTAAGCCTAAAGTACTCAACTTCTTTAGTATTTCAGCAACATGTGCAGTCAAAATAGATAAAAAATTAATTTCGTAGACTTCTGCAACTATCTTATTTCTTTTTTGTCATTTCTTCAATTAATTCATAAGCATCTTCAGAAGGCTTTAGCATCAAAGAAGCTCTAGCTATAGCATTAATTATGGCTCAAAGGGATCCTGTCAATCCATTATTAAAAGTTTGAATTATCAACCAATCATGTAAGGTTTGGTGAGGGCACTTTCTAAGCATCTTTTTGAATCTCTTCCAACTCTCGTTAATAGATTATCCTACAAATTGATTAAAAAAAGTAATATCATTTCTAGGCTTGGCAGTCTTAGAATGTGGTAAATACTTTTCTAAAAATTTATAGGTCAACTTATTCCATGTGGTAATAGAGTCTGGGAGTAAATAAATTAACCACATTTTTTCCTTGTCTCTTAGAGAAAATAGAAACAATCTATGTCTAAATATATCATCACTAACACCATTGTACTTAAAAGTTAAATAAATTTCTAAGAAACTTGTTAATATAGGTTAGGGTCTTCAATAAGAGTTCCCAAAACTGAGAATTCAATACAATATGAATAATTACAGGTTTTAACTCAAAATTATTTCCTTAGATGGAGGGTTTATTTATGTTTTGGTGAATTTCATCTAATAAAGGGTTTATAAAATCATTAAGAGGTCTAGAATGATCTACATTTTGAATAGGGCCAGTCAATTTAAAAATATTTTTGGTGGTACTAATTTTAGAAAGAGTTCTCTCAGTTTCATAATCAAAATTTAAATATGACTCTCCTCTATGTCATGTAATTACGTAACAACATATAAACAATTAGTAAATACAAATAAAAAAAATAAAAGAATATAGTACGAATAATTATGTTATTGATTCAACAAAATAGTAAATCTATAAATAAAATAAATTCTTCTCGACAATGGATTCAAAAACTTGATAAGGGCGGTGGAATAATTGTGAAAATTATTTAGGGTGATATCAATCTTTAAAAAAATACTTTGGTTTTCTTTTATATAAAAATTATAAAAACCTTACTAATTAATGTTTGAATAGTTGCTATTTAAATGAGTTATATTTATGCAACTTATGTAGTTTTGATGATTCCAAACATTATTGTTCAAAATCGATTTCACGATGAAAAATGTTTACTTGTAAATAATAGTACTATCTACTTCAACTACAATAATGATCGTACTCAATAAAACAAGTTTTGGCGGAGATTCAATTACTGAATTTAAAATAAAAAATAAATAAATGAAATACTATTTAGATAAATTATTTTAAATTGATAGAATATAAATATAATATTTTTCTATTGATTCTCTTTTATGTTAATGCTATTTATAGCATATACATCACTGTCTGCTCAGTCAAGCATGAAGAGGCAGAACATATTAAATTCTTCCAACCTCAATATCATTATAAACTCTCATAGTTTGTCACCTAATGAAAATCTTAAAAGAGTAATTAAAGCAAGAATTGTTAAAACCCCCTCATAATAATTCATCTTTATAAATTTGATACATTACAAGCACTATGCATATGCTTGTATCAAATTAATTCAACATACTTAGTTGTGTCTGCTTTCTTATTCCTAAGCTCCACATAACATCCGATATTAACTATATATATGGCCACTATGTGCATTAAATGAAGACTTAGTATATTTAAATAATTAATAAATTATTCAAGAAGAGAATTCCTTAGTACTACATATTTAATTTAAACCATTAGTCTAAAACTAAAGAATTTTGCCATATATTATGAACAAGTGAAGTAAATTCATTTTCATTAATTATATAAAAGGAAAAAAACTAGAAAAAGAAATGATATCACTTAATGGGTTCAATGATCTCCTTTATATCTCTACTTGAACTGACAGAATTCCTTCCACAAGCATAAGCCAAATATTCTAATGGAATGTATGTAGTACCTCTCTGTATTCTCTTAGTTGTCATTTCAAAGGTAAAATCAAAGAAGCACTATAAACACTAAAATTAAACAAGCGACTTAACTCATCAACTAACATTAAAAATTAACTATTTAAAAAAAGACATTAAAATTTGATTCTAGCGTTATGGCACTAGAGACAATTGCACCGTGGCACGCATAAAATGAACTATCACCATAGTACTAAAGTGATTCCTTAGTTGTAGCACTTGTTGATATAGATTTGTGGTTTAATTAATCATCATGTCGCTTTACTAACAAATTGTGGCCTAAATGGTTACAACTATAGTGTTATGACATTCTTAACAATTGAGTGTTTTGACATCCACATGGAACTCCCTTGACTTAGCGTCATTAGAATTTGGCACCGTGGAACTATGTAGACAGAGAAAGCTTTGCGGTGCCGACTCCTCTGACGTAGCGACACTATAATAGTTGGCTAAGCATTGAGACACTGACTCCTCTAATGTTGTAGCACTATTAAACTGAGATTGGGCACTGCCATGTCTATATTTGGGTACTCCAGATGTGTTAAGTTTTGCACCAAGGCGATATTGTGTCCAACGCCAAGGCGTTATACAATATTTAATAAATTTCCCATTTCCTATATTTTCCGCACAAACAAAAAAAATAACATATTTTTACTGATAAATCAACACATAAAACATAATATTATTTACACTTATCAGTGAAACATAAACTATACTAATTAAAATACATTTTTACTCATTATCTGTTTATAGAAAAGCTCGTATTAAAATAAAAAATAGGATATTGGGAGCCTACCTTTACTATATTAATTTCTCTAAGTGGTTTGATTGGAAATCCTAAGCTTTGACCTCTAAATTCTCTCTTTATCTCTCTCCCCTTCTCTCTCTTTTCCTCTCCATTTCCTTCTACAATAAGAGCCTAGTATAATGGGCGTGAAATTGGGTTTGAAAATTTAAATATGAAAACTTCATTTTGTCCCAGTGCCATGACTCTCACTACTTCAATAACATTGCACTCCAATAGAATATTTTAGATACTCCAAAAATTCTCTAAATAGAGAGTCAAGCACCATGGCAAAACTACCCAAAATTGTAGCACTCTCTCAATCATTCTTCCAAATAAAGAGCTCAATGACACAGCATGAAGCTCAATCTTGAGACACTCCAAGAGCAATTTTGACAACTTACACTTTCTCCTTCCCCATTCCAATCCTTGAATTGCTTAAAGTTAATTTAGTACTACAATACTAACAATCACTAACTAATAAAGTTCAAGCAATTATTAATTCAAAATTATATTAATTGCCTGGATTCTAGGATATGTGGTATTACATAAGTATAGTAGCTAATATTTTTATTTGAAATGGGAAAATTGCTTATACGAATGCTTAGACTCTATAATTAAATATAGATGATGATTCCTTATGCTTTCAAAGAGTATAGATTAATGAACAATATCATCACAAGTTTAGGGCTCTACCTCAATTTTGATGTCACTCCTATAACTAACTACAAATTTGTTAGCTATTTACCACTCTTTATGATCATAATTACTCCTAGCTTCTATAATCAAAAATATCTTTTTGTACTCTACAAACATGTTCCCTTATCTTATGATCATAAATTGCTCATGCAATTCCACTCATGATTCCAGGGAGAATACTTAGTCCTTAGAATTTCTTTCATCTCAATCTAGTTCAAAAGATTATATATAGTCTTTCCATTTTTACTAAGATGTTATTCCAATAGATGTTAGCATGGCCTATTAATTTCAACTTAGCAAAGAAGATTCTTTAGTACTCATCTACTTGATATTAATTAAAAAATTCATCAATCCTTGTGAGCTAATCTGAACATCTATTAGGTTCGTGCGCACCATCTATATGGCCTTTAAGCCTATGATTAGTCCTTAGGGGATCTCTCTGAGGTGGATAGTCATTCCTAAGGTTGTCTAAAATCTCTTTTGCGACTAGTTTAGTTGTACTTAGGTTATGGGTGGGTAGTTGAACAATTAACATATTGTTCAAATTATACATGTGGGTAAGTCACAACAAGATCATCTATCAAAAAATTTGGAAAGATTCTTGATTTGATAAGGAAGTCTCCTCTATCTTTCTAACAGATTTTGGTGGAATGTTATATGCAATGTGGTTACACTAATGATGCATTATGAGATATTACATTTTTTAGTTTTTTATTAAAATATGCAATGAATGCTTGCTGTATAAATGTGAAAATATGATTGAAATTATATTTAAAAATTTTAAAGCCTTCACTCCAATACAAGGAGCAATTTAAATTGATTGAATATATTGTTGCTAGCAAAAATTTTCCAACAAAATCTATGTTTGCTTTGTATAAATCTATTTTTGACAATACCCTTTCCATTATGAGTTCACGTCAACAGCATAAGGGTTAAATAGGTTTAGGAAAGGTATGGACATGAAGTAGAGGTATAGTTGACATATTTACACTAATTCATGCGATTAAATAAGACATGCAATTTTGCTTTATTTTTTGCAATAGAAAATCAAATTAACACAATGAGTAAACAATATTCCAAAGTCAAAGAAATGATTTTATAATGGATTCCAATTTACAATTTGAAACAATATTTCAAATTCAAAATTATTCTAATCTAATCTAAGTTTGTAAGGTATAAATCTACTATTGATTATAACAGAAGTGTAGTCTAATTTTATAAGTATATAACCCCCTTTCCAATATGAGTTTACTCTAACAACATAAAGGTTAGATAGGTTTAAATGGAAATTGGTTTTTCACAAGAAAGTTGAAGTACGTAGTTGACATGTTTACACTTATTCGAAAGATTGACTTAGACATAATATTTTGCCTCAAATTTTGTAATAGAAAAAAAACTCAATTATCACAAAAAGAGTAAACAATGCACAAAAGTTAAGGAAATTGCCATTTAATGGACCCAAATCACCATTTGCAACTACTTTTCCAAGCATCCACTCCTCTTAATTATGAAGTCTCCAAATCTTCTCTCCAACTTAGGCACGATAAATGATAGGGTTACCATGAAGGGTTTTAACCTTTGTTGTTTGCTATTTTAGCCTTATGGAGAGGGATTCCATAATGTGTTAGGGTAAGCTTTGTAAAGGATTGGAATCGAATGATGTTCAAGCTTCATAATATGTAATCACAATATAATATAAATTAATTTTCATTTATCATTATATAATATTTATAGATGCTCTATAATACCTTAAATTGAAATAAAATTAAATGGAGTGAGGAGTTGAGGTCAACCTACTTGAAGAGGTGAAAAGTGGTGACGGTACATCTTTTGGAAATGTATAACCACACCTTTCAATGATGAGGTTGTTTATAACTGTTTGAGAGCTTCTTCTTTTTTTTTTTTTTAACTAACAGCTTCATTTGAGTTTAATTAAAGAATCCTTTCATGCGATCCCTAAAAAACAAATTTCAAAATTTAAATTTTCAAAATTCTGAATATTTGAAATAAAAATTTTAATAATTTTGAATTATTTGCTTTCACTTTCTAATTATGAGGGGATCTTTTGGGCAGATTATAGAGAAATTCAGAAACTGATATGGAATGGTATAGAAATGGGCAAATTATTGCATCCGGTCACCTGACAGAGAGATCCGATCTCTCTCTGTCTACAGTAAAAGCACAGGTACTGTAGCATATATGTGCTTTACTTGCGTTTTACTATAGACAGAGAGAGATCCGTTCCTTTCAGATGACCGGATGCAATAATTTGCCAAAGATTTTACAATAAAAAAACTTTAAATAAAATAATATAAACTTATCACTCACTAAATACGGAGTTTGAAACAATCACCAAACCTTTTTATAAGAAGCCTTGACACCAAGCCTCATATTTATGGATGGAATTCAAATTTTTATAAACACAATAAAAATTACTTTTCATTTATAGTTCTATAATATTTATAGATGTTCTATAATACCTGAAATTGAAATAAAATTAAATGGAGCGAGGAGAGATTGTACATCTTTGGGACAAGTATAACCAAATCTTTCAATGATGAGGTTGGCTATAACTGCTTGAAAATTATTATTATTTTTTTAAACTATAAACTTCATTTGAGTTTAATATAACATTCCTTTCTTGTGATCCCTCCAAGATTTCAAATTTCAAAATTTTGAATATTTAAAATTCAAATTTTAAAAATGTTGAACTTTTTTACTTTCACTTTCTAATTACTATTACAACTCAAAATTAAAATGACATAGTCTCATACAATATTTATACATAAACATAAAGAAAATTCTATTTACTAGCTTTTCTCAAGTCCTTGATCCTTGCATCTTTTCAGCCTCATTCTTTCTCTAACCCATGGTGATTGTTCCATGACTTCTTAGATGGGCATCTTGTGGCATAGATTTCATGAAATGCAACCAAGTTGCTGATAGTATAATTATCTTCTTTTAGCATATTACCTTGCCAATATTAAAGACAATTTTTAAAATTCGAATTTTAAAATTTTAAAATTTTCACATTCACTTTTTAATTACTATCATAGTCTCGTATAATATTTAACACATATATAAATATAAAATAAATTCTTATTTATTAGCTTTTCTCCTTCTCCAAATCATTCATCCACTAAAATTTTCAGTCTCGTTCTTGCTCTGAGCTCTGGTGATTGATCCATCACTTCTATGAGGAGCATCATGTACCACATTAATTTTGATTTCATCAAATACAATCAATCAAGTTGCTGATATTCCAATTATCTTCTTTTAGCATATTATCTTACCAAGTTTAAAGATTTTTGTCGGAGATTAACAGTGGGGGTAATATGGGATTTAATTTGTATGGGTTTATTATGTTATGTGGAAGTGAATGGAAGTGGTTGGACATGATGTCTGCCTAGGCTTGGCCAAGTGCTCCACTATAATAGAGAATGACAGGAGATACAACTAATAATAGGGATAACTATATTACAATTAAAAGTCCTCACAAAAATAAATCAAGAAATAATAATGAAAGCATAAATCAATAGGATAAAGGAGCCATCAAGCAACTTGATGCTCTCTGAAAAAAAACTTTAAAAAGAGAAGCTATCAAGTCGCTTCACTAAGTACTTGCAAGAAGGCTTGCAGCACATAAAGCCTTTATCCCACAACGTGGAGCCCGACTGTATGAATCCTTTTTGTCCATTGTGTCATATTAAGAGCCAAAATCTCATTTAAATTTAATAAAGAAAGATCATTTCTAATAATTTTTAACCAAATATTTATTGGTCTACTTCTACATTTCTTTGCATGAGTCAAATCTAATACATCTACTTTCCTAACTGGGTCATCGGACGGCTGCTATTTTATGTGACCAAGCCATCCAAGAACCAAGCCATTCTTCGATGGCTCTCTATAATCTTATCTTCCACTAGAGCTACTCGAACCATTTCACATTTTAATTTTAAATTCTCGAAAAACATTGATCTCATAATTACATAATATTTACTTTTTAGCGAATGGTATTGAATAATGCTAAACAAATCAAGCTTACCGAACCTACACATTAAAGGAAGGCTTTAAATCACTTATTGGTTAGAATTTTAGCTTTATTCAATTTGGCGGTTAGACATGACATCACAGTAAATAGCATAGTTTAAAAAATAAGACAACATGCATTCCAGATTCTTTAGGATACGACCAGATTTTATTTTGTAAGAATGATATGAGCGTTATGTTTGACTATTTCACACTTTTCATGTGAGGGACTAAACTGATCATACAAATAAAAGAAAGAAATCTAATCTTCCATTACTTCAACTTACTTAAGCTTCATAAAAGTGATCATGTTCATGCTTGAAATTGGATTTCTATGCTGCATCCCTTTTGAACTTTCTATTATCTTACATTTCATAGTGACGCCGGCTGCGACAGCGACGACAGCAACAACCTGCGATTAGGAGATGGAAACAAGGCTTACCTCCTCCTGCGAGCTCCATGGAAGATAACTACTTCGTCGTCGAACTCCGATCACCACCTGTACTCCTACAGGATACAGAAAGTTCATCAAGCATGAACAGGGTTTTGTTTTTCTCGCTCCAAAAAATCTATCCCGCCTTTATTCGAATTAGGCTTTAAAGCCACTGAACTAAGTCAGCTACAGGAAAAGCAACAGGCGAAAATAATAGGGAACAAACGAATACGAAAACAGGAAAAACAACGAAACAAAATACTCAAAAGAAACAGAGGAGGCGCTGGAGCTAAAACAGGGGACACTCCGGTGTCACATAGAGCTCATTACAGCCTTTTAAAGGCAGTCCGATAAGAAAGTAATTCACACAATTCATCAATTGAAAGTACTATTTCTCAATAATAATAATAAATACTACAGTTTCCAATTGATGCTACAGCTTTGTAGCTACATCTGAGTTTGAGTTCCCAAACCTGATGGGTAATGGATGAGCCAAATGTCATGAAGATAGCGATGAACAATCTAAGAAAAGTTATGGTATCCTAGGTTCGCAAGTTATTTAAAATAACAATCCAACAAAATTATTAAGAACAACAACTAGAACAACATTTTAAACGATTGAACTTTTGTATTAATTCATCTTCATTACTTGATTCAGATTCAGCAGTTCACAAGAACATTTTTCTTTCATACCGATTTAACAAAGAATTGCTTCGATTCACCGTACTAAAACGACTTAAAGGTAAAACAAACAGGAAGGATGGAAAAGTAGGTTATAGAGAGCCGAAAGATCTTCCCAAGAAGAGAAAGCTAACGAACTTCTAAAATTCGTACATGACACCGACAACGAAGAAGAGAAAAAAAGAGAGCTAAAGCATGATTCATGACTCACCCTTCCTGTTGCCGGAGAGATAGAAGGCCACAGCCTCCCTCGTGTCATCAAAATTGTCAGCGAAATTCAAAAACTTGATCACCTCCCTGAGCTCCCAGTCGCTTAGATCATTGATAAAGGGAGAAATTGGAATAGCATTCTCCTTCTGCAGAGCATAGCTTGCAGGGTTGTCATCAACAATCACTACTTTTCCCAAATCTCTGCCAAGACCAGAGAGGTCTTTCACAAGCTTACCCGCCTCTATCTCCCTGCATGAGTCCCGATAAAGCCGGTGGGCGATGAACTTTCTTTTAGGGTCCAATCGGTCCAGGATGAGGGAGGCATACTCCCGACGTCCCGCGGTGAAGATGACAACTTCGTATAACTCCGAGGCAGTACGGAGAAGCTCCTCCACACCTGGCCTCTTCAAGACATAGAAGGGAATTTCTTTACCATCAATAACTGGATGAATGGTGAAGTCATAGAGCTCAGGCGGCATTCCAGTACAAGAGTGGATTAGGGTTTCATCAAGATCAAAGAAAACTGTTTTTCTTCTTGGAAATGATAGAGGCGGAAGGGCGGGGGTGGAAAACAGAGGAGGACTGGTGCCCTTTTGGTCATCGTGGGCTGGCCTGAGGCGGTGGAATCCTTGTTTTCGCTTACATGGACTGTGGAAAACGGTGAGGGTGGCAAAGATCTTAACGAGACGCCTGCGGCAGGAAGAGAGGGATCGGTTGATGGAGGTGGCAGCAGAGGAAAGTGTTTTTAGAGGCGAAGGGGTTGGCTTCCGAGGCCGGCGGTGGTTTGTCTTTGGGCTGTGCTTGTAAGATTTAGTAAGGGTCTTTCTGGCGATCTTGGAGACCATTTTCTAATTGTTTTGGGACTTACTGAATCTTTTATCAGAAGATTTTGATGGTTCTCTGTTTATATGCAGCGGACTAAAACCAGAGGTTGATGGTGACCAAGGTTAGCGTTATACAGAGAGGTTGCTTTGGTTTGGAGAACGGATGGAGGTGATCAGTTGTGAAGTTTTGGACGGTGATAGGAGGCTCGGGAGATTTAAAAGTTAGCTTTGGTGCAACGGTCAATAAAGCTTTTGTCCTATTCAAGTTGGGTGTTTTCTTCCTTTTTTTTTATTTGCAACGTTTTTGTTAATTTATTTGACTGAATATAAATTAATCAGAACAATAGTTTTATTTGATGTTTCCCAAAAAAAAAAAAGTTACTTTATGTAAAGTTGAGATTTTATTTTTCATGAAAGGGAATTATATGAGCCTTATTCCAAAAAAATAATTATACGAGTCAAAATGATGAATAAGCTTTTGCACTCATATTTTATAGGATAATATGCCAATAGAAAAAAACAAGATTTATTTATATTTAAATAGGTAAAATATAGTTAAAATCATAGTTAAAATATAATTTAAAAAGCAATGAAAACACAAAGTTAATTTGAGTTTTAATTGAAGATGTAAATTAATTTTCTATTTTACAAAATACTTGAAATTAATTTACATTTTCTAAGAAAATGCAAATAAGTTTTGTGTTTTCTATAAAAGAAATGTAAAGATATTTTCATTAGCAATTTTTTTTTACAATCATATAACATTTTTACTCTGTAAGTTATAATTTTTTTAATTTCTTTTCACTTTGTTTTTATTTTAGTTAGATGCAACAATGACAAACAACAACATCGATCCTTTTATCGGCTACGTGAGGTCAGCTATATGAATCATTTTTCTCCATTTTATTCTATTAAAAGTCAAATTCTTGTTTAAATTTAATAAAAAAATATCATTTCTAATATTTTCTAACCAAGTCTTTTTAGGTCTACCTCTATCTTTTTTAATATAAGTTAAATTTTTAATACATCTACTTTCCTAACGGAGTCATCATGAGGATTTATTATTCTGTGCGGAGTCTGAATGTCGTCTAGAGACTAATAAAAATGCATCACATCACCACAAAAATGTACCACGCTCGGTATCTAGCTCGGTACCGCTCGATACTGCACTCGGTACCAAGCGTAACAGGAGAATGGTACTGCGCTCGGTACCGAGCGTAACCCATCGGTTCTTCCATCCGGTGTCTGCACAGAATAATCTCTCCATCGGAAGGCGGCCATTTTATGTGACCAAATCATCTAAGACGACTCTCTCATTCCATGAAGAACAACAAGTGACTAATGGATTATAATCCATGATAAAAAAAAAAATCAACACTAATTAACTCCAAAAGATGTAGATAAAAAACATTATTTCAGATTTTAAATCATCACTGTTTAAAGCAAGCTTCTATTTAAAACTTTCAAACTAAAGTCTATTTCATAAACCATGCGAAAACCAACGCACATGCAACCTTCTTGCTTGGAAATATCGAGAACCAACATGCTATTCCTCCTTGCTACCTTTTCTTGCAACTTTTCTCTTCAAGTGAAATGAAGACCAGCAGCTCACAGCCATGGTGGAATGAAAAACCAAGCAGCAATCACAAACTACTCCAAAATCTCATATCGTGAGCTCAATGCATGCATCCAGATGTTTCTTCTTTATTTCACTCATATTCCATGCAAGGATAGCTCCTAGGGATGCAATGCCTATATTGCCCTCTGGCCCAATCATTACAATGGAAATGATACATTCATTCATCCCTTGATAAGCTCACAAGTTGTAATTAATATATTTGAAATGGCCCATAAAAGTGAAAAATGCTACCCTTTGCATAATTTCGGCCGTTGGATGGGAATTTTCTTGTTTTGGGAAGTTTTTAGAGCTAAAAGGAAGTGGTGAGTTAGGAAAGGGTATGGCTGAACAATTTAGGCTTATTTGGGCTGTTTTAAAATGATTTGAATTTATTGGGTTCACTTAACTTTATTCAATCCAATTGGTCTTAATTTAATTGCATGAAACTAACTTATTTTTGTTTGATAAAAACTCATTTTAATTTGATTAGTTTAATTTCAATTCAGCATGAATTGAGTTGAGTTAATTTAATTTGATGACATTTAATTCGATTCAACTATAGTAGAGTCGATTTGACTCAATCAGCTTAATTTTATGAAATTTTGCCCAATTTAACACAAATTATTGAATTTAAATTCAAATTGAGTGAAAATGATTTAATTGATTGACTTGAGACAAAAATTAATTTTACCAAACTTAATTAATTTGAATAGTTTCAGGCCAAGATTTATTTGAAATTGGAAGTTAATTTTTGGGTCAAATTGGGTCAACCCATTAGGCTTACATGCGTTAACTGATGGGTTGGCTTGGTTGGGATAGCTAAATTAAGGTATTGGGATTCTGGGGACAAAGTTTGAAATAAATATTTTGGGTTCATGAAGGTTTAAACTTAGGGAAAACCAAGGAAGATCATTTTGGTCACCCAGATCATTTTGGTCAACAAAGGTTGATCTGGGTCAAAAGGATTAACCAAAAGTGACTTTAAAAGACCCAAATATGGGTTTGGGTTAGTTAGAGTCAATGACAAGGTCACAAGATTCAGTTTAGGTCACTAAGGTGAGACCAATTTTATATTTTTTGCTCAAAATAGCTGACCAGGAGTCCAAACTTGCTCCAAATGACTCAAAATTTAGAGTGATTTAAAGTTAAAATCAACCCAAAGTCTAAGGTTTGATCATATGAGAACTAGGGTATGTTCTAAAAGGGAATTTTCATAATTTTGTCAATCTTTGTGAGTTCAAATGATTCTAATATGATTTAGAGATAACTTTTAGCCAATTTTAAGAGCAAGTAAGCTCAAATTATTATAATATGATTTAGAGATAACTTGTAGCCAATTTTAAGAGCAAGTAAGAAGGTTTTGGAGATTAGGCTAAACATTAAGATGTTCTAGATTTTCTTTAGTTTCCATGTCTTGCCAGTATTTTGTAGTTAGGCATCCTCCTAAAAAAATTTCTAAAGGTAATTTCCACACTAGACTAAGAAAGCTAAGTGATAGATGTATTTTTCAAATCAGCTTTTAAAATTCTACAAACGCTTAAGATAGCTACTCATTAAAAGATATCTTTTTATTTGTTAGTTTACTTTGCTTTTCCAACGAAGATTAGTCTAAGGAACAAAATAAAAATATCTTGTTGTATTTATTGTGCCTTGAATCATTTCCTTCCTTTAATGAACTTTTATTACAATTGTATTTTTCAAGGCACATGCATTGCTCGGGTTGTTAAAGCGTAATTTTATAATCAATTGGGAATATTGGATGTTTTGTTAACTCAATCATTTGTCTTATTATTCTCTTCATATGGGGAGATTGAAGAATGCACGCCTAGCTTTGGACATCAGTGGCAATGATTATGCATTGACGGGCATCAAATGATGTTTAATTATGAACGTTAAAAATTATCAAAAGGTTGGTGGCATATTCAATAATTCTATAATAGTAGGTGCTACTTACGACTATGGTGCTAGATGATGAGTAATTGGTCCATCTAATAGTGTCGACAGTGGCCATCTATTTAGGTTGATAACTGATGATGGTGATAATGAGCGTCGATGTGTTTCAACAATCAGCGTCTAATCATGACATTAATAGGACACACAAATACACTACTAAAAAACTGGATTTGTGCAACAGATGTTAAGAGCGGCTTAAAAACCACTACCAAAACCCTATTTTCGCATCGATTTTGTCTGCTACAAATTGCACCAAATTTAACTAGTGCAATTTGTTCCAATTCTAACCGGTGCTGTTAGTACCAATTTTAACCAGTGAAAATAGCATCGGTTTTAACCCACAAAGAGTCCTGCCCTTAAAAAGATCAAGAATACCTAATTCTTCCCAATCTTATGTGTGCGAACAGCTAGGCTCTCGGTATTCCATGACCGTGACTCTCAAGTGGAGCAATCCACTGCCGAGCGGAGCAAACTACTATCAGAGGAACACAAGTTCAGTCATTACTGTCGGAAATGCCCGTCGGCTTGCACATCCCGCTCGCATCTTCTTCGCTATTCTTCAGTGTGAGTATCTTCCCCTTCTTCCTCTTCTTCTTCTTCTTCTTCTCATTCTTCTTCTTCATCTTCTTCTCCCTCTTCTTCTCATTCTTCTTCTTGTTTCATTACAATCTTCCCTAAAATAAGAAAATTTTCAACATACATTGATACAATAGAGACCTTTTGAGGGGACTATAATAGATTTGATCTTGTTCGAGCTTCAACTATTTGGATTCCTCCAAGTGACCTCATACATTTCTCTTATATGTATCAATTTTATTTCATTTCCTTTTCTTTGTTACTGGCATGTGCATCTCATTTCCTTTTCTTTGTTACTAGCATTTGCATCCCCTTGAACCATTTTTCAATCCAAACCAAATTAGATTAAACCCTTGGTGGCATTGGGTCTCCTTTGAACCCATAAACCTTCCATAGCCAACCTAGCCATTGTGTCAACTTGGGTTATGAGTTAGGCTAACCCAAAGTGGCCAAAACCACTTGGGATTCATCCAACTTTCGCCCTAAGCTCATTTGAACCTCTCCAACACCTCCACAAGGTGGCCTTAGGTCCAACACACCTTACGTAGCCAACCCAGCCCATGGGCTAGCTTGGGTCAAACTCTAGGCTAGCCCAAATTGTCCAAAACCATATTGTCCTGAGCCAACTCCCATCTCAGGCCAATTTAAACCCAATTGCCACTTGCATTGGGTACGCCTGACCCAGATCCACTTCCCACATCAAACCTAGGGCCTGGCCTGACTTGGGTTAAGCCCAATTTGACCCAAACTGAGAAGGTTTGGGTCAACCTGAGCCATTCCATTGAACTGAACTTCTTCAAGTCCAATTGAGATCACCCTCGAACTCACCACATCCTCATCATCCTTTCGAGGTCAACCCAACCTAGGCCCTGATCGAT